GGAGGGGAGATGAAGGCCGGAAGGGGAAGAGGGCTAAAGCAAATGGAAGGAATCAGTTCTTTTCACCTGAGCACTAAGTTGCCGAACATAATTTCTGATGTATTCTTTGTAAGTATCGTGGTTTTCCTCCAACACAGTGCCCAGAGAAACAGCGTCTTCCGCTGTCATCAAGCTCGTCATGTGACACAAAGAATTGCAAAGCTATCAAAACAAACCGGAGTTTAGTAACAATCATACACAGCAGCGAAGCAATTACAACCCTCCCACAGTACAAAAGCCCAGTCCAGTTTCCCCAGGAAGTTGAACACACGGGGGACCGTATTTAAGTCTATGTAAAGAACATGGACTCCTACCTGCTGCCTCAGAGTATCCCTGTACTTGAATTCACAAAACTCGGTCACGTTCTCGGTTCCTTTCAATGCGTCAATCAACGTTGCGTACACGTGACTATAAAGAGTCACGTCACCAAAGTAACGCCTCTCTGGGGGAACTGATAACGGTATGACAGCATTGATGCGCACCTAGAATCAAACACAAGTGTTTCCAGCGTGTTGCAGTGTTGGTTTTGCTTTCCTACTGCTATTGAACCTAACCATTACTCAACAATTCACTTAACCGCCCACACAGATCAGGGCTCATCACACGTTCCCTCCCCACGAAGGAACGCGTGACGAGCCCCAAGAGCGTTTGCGTGGGAGGCTACACATCGCTTTAACTCACCTTGAAGTTCTTACAATCGCGAATGACATTTTCCAATCCGCTGTAAATTTCGGTCTACAAAGAAAAACAGAAAGTAGTAAGCTTCATTTTTCTTTCCAATGAAACATTGTCATTCCAACATGAAATTTAAAATGATCAATTCATTTGCGCAGACGAATTATAAATAGCTTGCTTTCAGCTGAGGGCGGAAAGAGATGATAATCAGGACACAGGGAAAAGAAGCTTTCTTTCAAACACCCGACCAATCAGAACGCTGTGATTCTCCCAATAATCTGATCACAAAATCCTCAGCGGTAGTGCATCCTCATAGGCAGGAAACGTCTGAAGACTTGTAAACAAGTCATCGCTAGGCAAGTCAAGGTATTATTTCACTAGTGATAAAATTAACTGAAAGACGCTTGAATAATATTCCTTTCCTTTCCTTTTCAACTAATTCACAACCTAGATTGAAATGTCAATTCTCCCTACTAATTGTCACACGTTTCTTCTAATGTTGGTTCTGAGAACTTGGTGGTTCATCGAGAAAACGTCCTCTAGTTGATGATTTTCTTTATTCTGGCTACCCGCATGCTTGGCCACGCATTGATATTGTAAGGAGAATACAAATATTCAAAAATAAATACTAACCGTCCAAGGCGCTGTACCAGTTGGTAAGAAAGGATTCCGGAACACGTTGCCGATCGCATAACAAGCGTTCCAGCGAACCTGTCAACAGAAATCATACACGGCGTGTCAACTGTGTTTGTATCCTTAACACTTCGACGGAAACGGAAGAGAGTATAACAAGGGTTTCCGTATCTACTGAGAAACGTGTTGGTCAATGGCCTATACCAAACACCCGGGTCGCGGTAGCATGTATTGCAAATGTTTCTTCAAGGCCCAAGCAAATGGGATAAGATCGAGTATTGTCTAAATTGCACCATGAATCCATTCCTAAAAAGGTTGCACGACTCTGTGCACTGGTACGGAAATAACATCCCTTCTGTAAGAAGATCAAGTTCCATATAACTAGATAGATCAGTAAGGGTCGAGGATACGTCATGTAACCTGTCACAAAAACAGTCAGTCAGTTTGACCGAAATCACTACTTCACCTTCATAAGACCAGAGCCCACGTTCCTAACCAGTGCTTGAACCGCTTTCTCCACTGCTTCCATAAAACCAGCTTTGTCTGAAACGAGAAACCAACAAAACCCCTGTCTACGTGACAAATATAAAACAAGCTCCAAATATAATGGCACTTCCCACCACATCTTAGATTAAAAATATTTCCCACAGCTAGCTGCCTCTTCTCCAAAAATAGCTTCTCAAAAACAGAATACATACGTAAACAACAGACAAACAAACAAAGGCAAATGCATGCCAGAATCCTTTTCAATCAGTTATACAAGTTCCATTTAAATTAAGCTATTCCATCTTAACCCAGTTTATTAAAAGGCTCGTACTATTTGCAAATATATGGGCCTGACGTTTTAGATCTTCACTTCAGATTCTCGCACCCTTAACAATAGCAAAACCAGCCTCCTTTGTTTTTATTCCAACTTGCAAAGGTATTAGATCCCTTAGACGCAAACTCCTATCGATAGTGCAACTAGTCCTATCAATAGTGCAACTATCTGAACGATGGAAACAAGTGTATTTTAAACCTTGAAGCTCTAAACACGTTCACACGCCATTCCAAGTGGCTAGCTCAACAACAGTGTCTTTTTGTCCCTCACCTAGGGATGACGTTCTAGTGTAGCGAAGAAAGTTCCCCAAAGCTCTTACAGCATTTGATTTCACCTGAAACGAGCATGGCATAACAAATATCAGATGAACTGACTCAACATTATCCAAGGAGGTAGGAACAGAGCAAATAACAAAAAAGGCGGGTTTAAAACCAGCTCATATTAGAAACAGAGGGAAAGCAATTGCTGGTTTATGCGCGTAAATGCGGACTGAAAATCTCAAGGGCCTGATTCTTCAAAGCAGGCCAAAATGAATGTCATACTAAAACATCAAACTGTAATGTAAATTGAGCAATAGGAAACGCTTTTTAAAAATACTAGCAAAGTATAACGAAGTTGTTTTCTCTAAAGGAACAAGTTGATGACAAAAAGTCCTAAGTACACCAATATAGAGAATAAAACGAGTCATAAAATGAGATTTCTACGAAAATCCCTCATACAAATAAAACCCCTATCTAGGGTTTTAATCATCTTGCAAAGCTTTGTAAACACAAACCTTTTCATTATCGTCGGCCGCTGTGATCGAAGTGTTCAACAGCTTCAACAGTAACATGTCGGAAAAATCCTCCATAAAACCTGAGTCTCCACAAGACCTGTCCAACGCAACATCATCCATAAGAAAAGGAAATAAACTCAACTCAACGTCGTTTGTCAAATACTAGTAAAGTAAACGCTCTTAGAGGTGTTTCATCACTTTTCAATAATAAAGTAAGTTTGTCTTTTTTAGACGCTTAAGTGTCCTTTTTAGACGTTAAGGTAAAAAAAAAGGTAAAGTCTGCATGCGAGCCAAGTGGCCCATCAGGTCGGAGCTTATCCCGGTTTCTGTAGCATGAAGCGACTGGGAGTATTTCTNTCAGTGAATAATCATCAAGAAAATGCACCAAAAAAAATTCAAGTGTTCATGGTTTACCGGAACATCCTCACTGTAAAGAGGTTTGACAAACAAAGGACGATGAAGTTGTAAATTTACCTTGACATTCTTGTCTTCATCATTTGACAAACCAAGGAGAAGACTGATGCAAAGAATACGCCTGTGTAACTAAAGAAGAAAGACAGAGATGAACTACGACAAACAACAGCAACGACGAAGACAGTACGATAAGAAAATACAAGTTAGTACTCACAGGTAGTTCGTTAAAGATAACAGCTCCAATGTTTGACAAACAGTCAACAGCAGCGCTGCATGATGGGGCAGAAACAGAGCTTCCTTCTTGTATCATACTGATCAATGGACCATCTAACAGTTTCAGCCAGAACTGTAAAATCTAACAAATGCAATGAAAGCGACAATCATTGGAAACAAGAAGCTACAGAAAATGAAAAACGCTTCAACGGTGATTTTTTTTTTGCGCACAACTGTAAATGAAACTGCCTGCTTCACAGTATTTTAATTTGATTAGCAAAGTTTTTGACTTCCCGGGCTCTGAAAGGTTCAGGAAATAGCTTTTAGTGAGAATTATTTCCTGTCCAAACATTATTTTGCACCATGTTTACCCAATTTTAACATGGTGGATTTCACCACATACAGGTCAACTCCAGACTCCTCAAGTCGAGGTTAGCACGAGGTTTTCTACTGGAAGTAACTTAGACGCTTGTCTTTAATTCTTAGTCAAATAAGAGCCTGCACAACATGTGTCTAAGGTGTGGTGGCTTAGCAGTCATTTATTTCCATGTTGCCTGGCAACTGAAGCCGCCTTTGTATGACATGATACATCTTCATGAGACATCACATCTAAAAACAGGCTCGTATGTGAGAAACTAGGGCCCTGGTGTACTGAGACACTGAAACCATTTCCCTATACTAGCCCATGATCAGCTTGATTTTACAACCCTATTCTATACTAGGAACCAAAAACCCGTACCCTATTCCAGACTAGCAGAAACTTTATCACTATTGTAGTTCAACATACACTGACTAAACCAATATCTGACAAAGTCACTTGTCACCTTGCTCTAGACTAAATTATTATTCTCTAGGCAAAACTGTCTGATTTCTATCCCTATCCCAGACTAAACTGCCTGAAAGCTATGCCCTTCACAGCAACACATACCTATATAGCTTATACATGGGAGTACCCCCCCCCGACCCTACCCAGGCCCTTCCTGAACTTACCTGTTCTTTGGAGACTGCATTTCTACCAGTGTGAGTGTTTGAATATTCAGCGTACATTGCACGAGCCAGTTCTTCAAGTAGCTACAAAAATGAGACCATAAGATTACATTTTTACTGGGCCTTCACACAAAAAAACTGCACACAGCTGGCTCCACAACATCCAAGTTTTGCAATTTCACATGTAAACTACAAATAAACCATGAAGCATTCTCCCCAAACGCAGCAACTAGAAATTTCTCTCATTAACAAGGTTTGTGTAATAATAGAAATAATAAACAAACGAAAACAAGCGGGGACACTCCAAATGTGATGAAGAAGGTGGGCTGATAACAAATGGAACCGTATACTTCAATTTCCACTTCACTTGCTAGAAAAGGAAGAAACATTTCTTCAATATAGGCAATGAAAAGATGAAGAATAAGAAAAGACATGTTTTAACCTTCATTGCACACAGAGTGAATGATATATCACCATCTTTTAAACACGAACACGCCAGATTCCTGAGACATTCCACCACACTGGAACTGCAACAAGACAAAACATAACACTTAGAAGACGGTCAAGCTTTACAAAAAGTTACACGTGCCCTCCAGAATAAGACTGTCAGGTTGAGTCAACCCTTCCCTTAAGCTGAGCTAGTAAAACACGTATTCAATCAAGGTATACCTAGACTAGGGGAAATCAACAACAATGGTTTGAATTCAGTTGTAGAACAGCAGTCGGTAAATGACAAAAAAATCAGGAGGTTAGGTTGGCGAGAGAGGGCGGGGATCATTTAAAATGAGTTGCAAGTTGAAACCACTATAATAATAACTGGATTCCGTTTCCTTAAAAAAAACCTGTATTCACGAGTCTAGAAGCTAACCCGGTAGTAAAAAAAAATGCTCAAGATCTACAAGACATTTTAAATTGCATACCTTAATAAGACGACATAGCTCTTCACAAATGAGCCCAAAACCTGCAAGGCTTCCAAACGCACCACAAGTGAATTTTCTCGTCGATTTACTGCGTGGATACACCACTGTATCAACCATGGGGACTCGGATGGCACCTGTAACTCGGGACTCATTACGGCGGGGCTACTGCTACTGTCACACACACTGCTGTTGGTTTGTGGCATGCTGCGGTTTCCTGGGTTGTTGACTTCCGCCGAGGTTGGTCTCATAATTTCAGCTACTTCTTGGAGAGGGGTGTGTACACACACCACCATTCTTAGACAGGACAGCACGGCTGTTTGTAGGTTTGGGTCTGAATGCAAGCAACAAATACAAATTAAAGATGATTGTCAGTTAGCCTTCAGGGATAAAAGCACCCACGGTCAGGGAATTACCACATGGCACTAACGGGGATACCTGTCAAACCTTATAGGGGTTAAAAATGCTTGAATAGGAACCACTTAGATGGGGTGTTAAGTTTCAAAGACCCTCGTTTGTGGATATCTCACTTGCTCGCTATTCTAGGAGTCATCACCGTGACGGTCCTTCATCGAGAAGAGAGCAACTATGAAAACTACCAAGCGAACATAGTTTTTGTTTTTTTAAGTATTTTCCTGTGGTGTTTTTAGGCAAGTCACTTTAGCCTTCTCCTCACCATGAGCATAAAAACAAATCCCGGCAGACTGTCGAGGGAATCTAACAAAAGGCTACTGGGATAAGCTGGGATTGACTAGTATTCCATCCATGGAGACTAGCTATTCCTCTAGACATTCCGTACGAAAGAAGAGCTTGTGGGCTTAGACACTAGGCTACAAAAAAATGCAACTTAACTACTTCGTAGAAAACGTTGTTGAAAATGCTGTCATCACTAGCCTATTAGTTTACCTTTGAGAGCCAGTAAAGGTCTGAGTTGTCTGGCAACTTTGGTTAAAAGTCCTTGCTTCAGTCTGTTGTATGGTGAGTTCAGAACCAGAAGGGACAAGCACTGGAGCAATATTACAACAGAACAGTCAGAGACAATACTAGTTGGTACATGTAGTATGCATTTTTCCAACAAACGCTTTGATTTTCTTTTGATTGGCATGACATGACCTGCATGATAACATCAGATGAACGAGATATGCGTATACATGTTCTGAGAAAAAGTAAAACAACTTTCGCACACTTTCTTTTCTTTCTCACGCAGAATGACAGTAATTGATGGGAGGCTCAAAACGTTTTATTGCAATTGTTCACAGAAGAAACCAAATCAATCAGCCTATTGCTTAATGGTATAATAACTATCTTTAGCTTACAAAAATAGCCAGCGAAGAATTTGAGCATCAAAATTCTAAACTTATCGCAAAAGCACAACGAGACCTTTTTACGATAGAGAAATTAACAACCACTAACAACACCTGAAGGACAGAGTAATCAGTATTGAAATGTTCAGTAAAGGAATCTGGCAAATCTGAAGGATGCTCCTCTAAGGGACAGAAAGAGAGACAATAAAATACAAGTAATACAATAATACAAGTTCAACGTATACCTTGAGTATCTGCGCCTTGGTAGTACCAGATGTCTCAGCCATTAACGCTTGTAGGAGACATCTGTGAAGCTCGTGAACAATTCCACTCAGCTTTACCGAGAACGAGGTATAAGGGCGTGATGATGGTGAAGAACTGTGCTGCTCTCTGAAATAAGAAATCAGCTTTTCAATGTATCAGAGTGTAGTACCATCTATACACATAACTAGAAGTATGTCACTAACACGAGATGGGGTGCCCTTGGGGAGCAGTCAAAGTTTGCATTAGTCAACTGTCAACAGTACTTTACATTTTCTTTGCTAAGTTGTTTCTGTTCAATTTTCATTGTCCACATCCTGTCAATTTTCTCAGCTGGCCTTGGTGGGAGTGGTCGTAATGTTAATACCAACTACAAAACTCTTTCCTAGAATAGGCTGTTTTCAAACAAATTGTTGTAGTTCCCAGCTTGAAAAAGTATATGTCTAAAATAGCTTAGGGTTTATGTTACAGTTTCTATCCATACCTGTCCTCCGCAGCCACTAAGAACTGTCTTGAACCGTCCAACAAATCCATCAAAACTGCTACACCACCAGCACGACCCTGATGAATAACCACATATAAATTATTTAATATTAACTCAAACTACAGTACAGTGTACTTGCTAGGTATTTTTATTTTTATAAAAAAGCTACTACAGTAATATGTGGGATTACACTTGCAAACTTGGAATCACTCAATTGCTTTGGAATTTCACTGAGATAAATTTTGTGCTCAAGGCAAAATAAGACAGTACTAAATATCACCAACCTTTGGAGTGGGATCCTTTAGAATTGTAGTAAAGAGAGACCAAGATGACGACACTGTATTATCAGGAACAAACGACGACCAATATCCAAACAGAACCTTCTTGTCTGTGCTCTAACAAAGCAAATGATATTTATGACAACCTTGAGCTTGAACAAGCTCAATAATAATTATTTCCTAAATACTCATTATTTACAATCATTATAAATGAGCCAAATATTATTTCAAAATGTGGACCTCACCATTGGTCCATAACAACTACTTCAGCAACCGTGAAGCAGAACTGAAAGGAGTCGCCTTAATAACACTCCACTGAAACAATTATAGCCCTCTTTTACAATCTGTTTTTTCCCTCCAAATAGCAGCATGTGAGCTTGCATATAGATTTAGTTCTGACAAGAACTGTAAATATAATTATTTCTTCTGATTGGTAACTATTTTTTTAAAATTTTCACCTGACAACAGTAGTACTTTAAAGCATGTTTTGTATGTTAGAAAGTGTTATAATCATGACATGTTCTGACTTATCTGTGCACCATCTCAACAAAAATGCCTGTATGATATACTGTCAGTACTCTTACTTACTTTAATAACTGCCTGAAGGCAAAGAAGCACATTAAGCCGAACTTTTGATGTTATCGATCTGAAAGAGAACATCAGTGTTAGTTACAGCCCGAACGAAACTAAATACACATGAGAATCAGAGCAGACAAAGTATCAATGTATTGTGGAGATAAAACATGTTATTTTCACATGTGAAGATACTATGTTATTACATGAAAGCTCACCTGGTATTTCACTGGCGTTTATATAGTAATGTGCCATGGATCAATAATTCATGAATAAAAAAAGTTAAACTTTTCTTTTAAGGATTAGTCACTGAAGGAATGGGTATTGTTAACAATAAAATACCCAAAGAAAGAAACTAGTTAAACATCTATCAGTACAATACCTCAGTCTTGCAGTCTGTCCTGCTTCACTGTCAGAATACTCTGAGTCAGAACTTGCAGTGGACAAGCTTGATGCACTATGGTAACCTGATGACTCAGCGCCAGAGCCATCAAAAGCATTAGCATTTGCCGCTGTACTGTCTCTATTTTGATTAACATTGTTTCCTGTTAAATGTGCTGCATGTCTTGGTGGATTCCTCAGTCTAGGACTGATGGACTGATTTTCCATACTAGCAGGATCTTTGGGTACACTGTAATTTAAGTTACATGTCGCAAATGTGGGTGTCAGAGCATCCATTGAAGAGCTACCAACAGTTATTTGTTTTGGAGGTGAAGTTGACGTCGCCTGTTTAGATTTTTTGTTGTTAGAGCGTCTCTTTTTCTTCTTGCTAAGAATTGAGTATGTGCGATCCCTCTGAGGTATTGTATTCAAATGGACTGAGGATAAATCATCTGGCTCTATCCCTGTAGAAGCAAAGTCAAATCCTGCTTTTTAAAAGTGGGTAATAATGGCGGTCTAATGGACTGAACAGAGCTTGAAAAAAACTCAAATTCCAGCTTGCCATTTGGACAAGTATCTCTCAACTAATTATTGCTTGCCCAGAAGGAAATCTACTTGTCCTGGACAACCAAATGGCACATTTTCCCAGCCCTGCTGAACTGTCTGAGTTCAAGTGACTGAACAGTGTCACTGTTAGCCTGCGTGCAGACATCCCTAGTTCCTTTGTTTCACATAAAAAAGTTATGATGAAGGGCAAGAGAGTTGTTATATTGTGAAGGCCTTATTCCTAGGATAATACGTCACAAGTTATTTTTACATATGGTACCCAGTTCTTCCATGGATAATGTTACTACGCGTGTTGCATGAATGTTTCAGTAGAGGAAGAAAATGCGTGTAAAGCAGCATGGGCTGTCCAGGTGAGCAAAACCAACATCACAGTACTGTGACTATTCTAGACCCTTCTGAGATGTCCAAAACTGGGACTGATCTAAAAATAACTTGAGAGGGATTACCTTAGGGATAAGGTCTATATGAGGGATTAACTCTACTTTTATTCATCCTCTCTTGGTGTTACTACATAGAATCTTGGGTTAGTTGGTTGCTTACAAAGAACAAAACCAATAAGACGGTTTTACCTGACTGATCCTCTAATTGCTGGTGGCTCTTCTCAGTATATACTGGTTTGTAGCCTGGCATTCCACAAAACATGTAGTTCTAAATATTAGCAGAAGAATTATTTTAACTCAACAGGACAGATAACAACAGCTTGCAAGATGGCAAGACTAGCATTTTTCTTTGTGAGACTCAGGCATTTTGACGTTTTATATTCTGAGACCAAGACTTCAAAGTGTTTTAAATACCAGTGCAAGATGTTCAGACCCTACAATGTTCAGATGTCATTTTTTAAAAATAAACCACCAAATTGGGACTTCCCAGACACCAGGTGTTTAGCCAGGATTTGAAAACTGGGGGGGGGGGNGGGACAAAATATGCCTTAGGGCCAGCTCAAATGAACAATTTTGAAAGGCAATGTATGGAAAATTGAACAGTTTTCTTTAAAAAGTGGCCATCCACAGGATGCTTAAACACCCATCTGGCTAAAAGCCTGTCAGACACTTCTGTGGAAAAAAATTGTGACTGCAAGATGCACATATCGGCTAGTGGGGGGCGAGACCCATGCTTTTTTAAGGACCATTTGCCAACCCTACTATAAATTATATTTATCCATTCTTACATGGAAACTACTGTCCGTAGTACTGTACTTCAGTTGTTTTAACTAAATATGTAAACTTATGCAAGGAGATTCCCAAAAATATATATCAAAAAATATATACGTGTATTGTTGAGAATAGAACACACAACACATGTATCTGAAGTTGTTTGTTAAAGAGCTGTGTTACATTGCCATGTTAAGATGTCTATTCAAAAACAAGAACTTAAGTAGCCCATCCCTAATTCAATCCCCCTCCCCCAGCACTCCTGATCCCCCCTCTCCAATACATATCCTCACAAACTAGCACACAGGTGGCTAATTAAAATTGAATCATTACTAATGGTAGTTACCTTAAGTGAAGCCAAGAGAGGTCCAAGATTTTGATTCTGCCCTGAACAACCAAGTACAAGGATATGTTGAAGAGCTCGCAGAACTGTGTTGACAAGCTGAAAGACAGAAAAAAGGGCATTCAGTTCCTTTAAGAATATTGTTTTCTTGTTTCTCATTTGCAATGTAAGCCACACTTCTCTAACACATACTAAAAACCAAGAATTAGAATTTAATAATCTCTCTTATCTCCAAATAATTTGTACCACGATATAGGTGCTGATTTTCATCAATGAGGCAATTGTTGGAAAATAAAAATTTTTCCCACAATAGCTTTGCTGACAGAAAACAGCAATGAGTATTGGAGCTATTGTTGTTGAAAGCTGAACTTTCTAGACTAGCCGTTTTGTACTAGAGATCGGACGTGACATTGCGTGACAAGCCAAACATTTTAGATAAGTCGTTTTGTACTGTTTTGTGACCCGGATGTGACGGTGCATGAATTGTTGTACCCCCCTATAGGGGTTGTAGAAACATGTGCTTGAAGAATTAATATGGAGTTCAAACATGGTGACCCGTGACGTGTTTAATCGCTAGCCTTGAGTGTTGTTTGCTTTTGTTTGTCGCCAACGCCGATCAAAATGAAGACAAAACAAATTGATCAGCTGAAGAGAGTCTCACACTGGGTTGAGAGGCTTAATGAAAAGAGATTTTGACGCTGTTAGAAACATGATTGAGTCCAACTCGCCTGAAATTGCTTGAGTGGAAGAACAACTCGATTCAATTGTTACAAGATTGCAGAGAGCCGAGGATCTGCAGATGGAAATTGAGAAGCTCTTGGACGATGACTCTCAAGTAGGAGATGAAGTGGACGCCCAAGGACCATGGTTCGATATGGTAAGAGAATGAATTCATGATGTGAAATTATGGTTAAAAAACAGCCAAAAGCAAAATACAAGTGAGAAGCCTGAACCCATTGCACCATCACCAAAACATACGTCAAGTGNATAGGGACTGATTAAGTCACTTTAAGTCGCAACAGGCTACCACAAGTTGCAAGGTGGAGGATGTTGAAAGCTGAACTTTCTAGACTAGCCGTTTTGTACTAGAGATCGGACGTGACATTGCGTGACAAGCCGAACATTTTAGATAAGTCGTTTTGTATTGTTTTGTAACCTGGATGTGATGTTGCACAAATTGTTGTACCCCCCTATAGGGGTTGTAGAAACATGTGCTCGAAGAATCAATATGGAGTTCAAACAATTATTGTTGTCATAAATTGTCATTCTCCCTAGACAAATATACTAGTTATGCAAAGCGTTTGAGTGGTATACCATGGAACATTCCATGAGTCACTTTTATTTTCTTGGTATGAAGGCGAGTGTGTATACCAAGAAAATACATTAAGTGACAAGTGGGATATTCTATGGTATACCATAAGAGAGTGTTGCATAAACTATTTTATACCATGCCATAAAAAATACAGTGGCCAACAAAATCCATGCGACATACATGTACATGTGGCACATGATGGGAAGGTTGGATGTAATACTGTCAAATATGCAACGGCTTTCCTGTATTCTGATTGGCTGTATTTTCTGTGGCATGATATAGATGGAGGTATTCTCACACTCATCAAATCCCTGAATGGTCACTGCACCACAACCCTACATCACAACCATTTCAATCTCTTATTCATCCACAAATAACAATTACCAGTAAATACTACAAACCAAACAAAAGTCTGGAGACTCTTCACCTAGCTAGTTCTAACTGCATTACAATATTTCAAAATTGTTTTTGGGAAAAGAAGTCTCCTTCGCAAACCATTACTTGGTTCAAGGCTTCTTCTTACTTCTGGCTGTTTAAAACCAAACCACATTCCTTTGCATGGTTTCACCAATAATGACAGCTTTTCTCATAAGAGATTATATTCCTCAGTAAGGAGGTGGTGCAAAAATTTGCAGATGAAACCAATCAAAGTTCTGTCTTATCATGACCAGGAAAGCAAGACTGCCCAGCTAAAAGCTCTCTCAGCTTTTAGTTAGTTTGTACAATAGCAAACAAAAATATTATGATTAAGTATGTTATGATCACTCATTAAATTATTTATAGCTGTCAGAAATAGCCGTAAGGCCTTGTCTACATGTCTAAGCAGTTAAAGACACTAAATTAATACTCCTACATGTAGCAAATATAGAGGAAGTGAATCATAAAAAGCAAAAAAGAAGTAAAATATTTAATTAATACACTCATTAATTAATGATTCTTAAGGTTATAATAGAATACAAAAGCAACATGATTCTGAGGAAAATAATTACTGACCCTAAAATGTTCAATCTCTGTTCCACAAAGTTTTGGGGAGGATGCTTGAAGCAGATCCAAAAGAAGATTGAATGCAGGCGTAATGAATTTATCCCCTAAGCACAGTCCATTGGAGGATCTCAGGTGAAATATACAAGAAAAAGCAAGCATTGATTACCAAATTGTTGATATTTATTGGATCAATAACTTGTTCGATCAATTATTCAACGAGTCTAGTTTAAATCCTCTCCTCATGAACTAGTTTGTAAAACAATAGACTTTAAAGCCAGCCAAAGAGAGGAATAAGCAATGTGTAAAGGTTACATCCATCGGACCACTGGGCTTATAAATGTTCAGCTTTCAGTATCATGAAACAATATATTTTAAAATCCAGCTCGCCTTTTCATTTTCTCCTAGATGGGGGATGCCGGTCTGTTGCCGGGCTACCTCCAGCATCTAGTTTTCCAGAGGCGCTCTGAGAGCAAAGTATCTTGCCTAAGAACACAGCATGGTAACCAGTCAGAGCCTCAACCCTGATCACTCAGTCTAGAGTCCAGCATATCAATCATTTCACCACTGCACCTCTCGATAAAAGAAGTCTTTTATGCGACAGTACTTTAATAAATAATACTGATACTGTCCCACCATAGGTGTCAGTTGCATAATATACAGATTGGGTATTCTACATGCAAATGGATAACTGCTCAAAATTTCTCTTTTTTACTAGGATATAAGAGGCTTGATGCAACCCTGCAAACATGGGTGGTTTTAACAGGAACTACTAACAACAGATTATCTTAACTGTGTAATAATATCTAAATGACAGAAAAGTTAATCAAAATTAAGTACCTCATGCAGACATTTGCTACACACTGCACAGCACTGCAAAGAACATCAGTATCCTGTGCCTCATCTCTGCACAGTCTTACCAGAACACCATCTTTAGCCAATAGGCTGTCACCAAACTAAAGAGAAGCAAAACTGTTTGCTAATGCTGTATTGAACCATCACACACATGTATGCACATTCACTTGACATAATTACCATAAATATTACATTTAAGTTCTCAGCTTTTTCAAGGCTTTAGCAAGGAATTCAAGAATTTACAATGATCTTATTCCAATTTTGTAAGTTGCACTACTGAAGGGATATGCTATTGACCACTTTAAAAATATAATTTAATTTGGAAATTCATGGTTATTTTCAGTAAATCATTTAGTATTTGAGATAATGATAACCAAATATTTCAAGGACTTTCACTTCCTAAGACACGAAAAAAACTCCCTGCTTGGCTTTGGACCTGCAGGGGAAGATCCAGGATTTTCTTCGGAGGGGGTGCACCACTGAGATTGTGTAACTGACTGGTGAGGTATACAAATTTCAAAAGCGAACAAAAAGATGAACAAGGTTTCATCTCAGGGGTGTGTGTGTGCACCCCCTGCACCCTCCTAGATCTGCCCCTGACCTGCACATAATTACATGCGGGTCATGCACCTTAAGACCATGATGGCAAATTTGAGCCTACGGCTCAGGTAATTGTGCAAGCACTCCCTGTGTTTGACATTAAATTTGCATTTACATTAATTTTACATTTTGCATTTTATTTACAGTTACATTTGTTCTCTCATCACATCAAGGTTTATTTAAAGGGATTTGAAAACAATAATTTTTGTTTCATTTGAAGGTATGACAAAATACCGAATGACTGATGAATGACAGCAAGGTATGTATACCTGTCCACATAGTGATCCATTTTCATACAGAGTAGATCCTAAAGCTCTTAAAATGTTCAACAAAGTCCACTTTTTACATGTCTTGATGCAGTCAATAAGGAAATTCAGAACGTCATTCAGTGTTTCTTGGCTAACTGTGACCTGCAAATTATTAAGTCCAGTGTTGACTGTGAAAAACTCAAAAAAGTAGAGGTAATCAAATGAATGTGAGTGCGATTAAGGATATTTGAAAATTCTCTTGCAATTTGAACACATTTTTAAATATCAAAAGTGGTGTAAATCCTCAATAATATTGCTCGGCTTTCGTACAATTACTCATTGACTAAGAAAATCACAAAAGCACACATTAATTTGCACTGCAGTGCAAACTAAAAATTTACAATAAAATAACCTGCTCTCGGCCAATCACAATGATTCAGGAGTAATTTTCTCAGCTCATAATAAATAAAAATTCTCTACATACTCTTTCCCTGCTCAAGGCCTGTTGAGTTGGGTGAGCGTGATTACTAAGCTCAAAAAATATCTTGTTAAAGTCCATTTGAATAGTACGCTTACATGTACATACCTTTTGTTTTGCAAACAGATTGACTATAAGCTGACAGAACTTGGTGACAAGGAAATCATCATTGCCACTGGAGTGAACAAGTGTGCAACATTTAGACATCACACGTAAAGCATCCTGAAGGATTAAAAAAAAAGACGATAAGGTTGTTGTTGTTTATGTCGTTGCTTTACGTAGTTGTATAAAATTCTTATACTACTCTCAATCTTACATGCAAGTTTACGTGTAAGCTTACATGTAAAACACCACACAGAAACTTGCATGGTTCCAGTTAGTATACATTAAATGCTGGCTGCATTTTTAGTGATCTTACCTCTTCGTTGTCAACGACACTTGTCGCATAGTCTAAAGAATTGAGTTCATCCAATATAACGTTAAGATTTGTGTTTAATGTCCCCGCAGAGGACGAGTGCTGCAGGTTCAATATTCTATGAGCTGCTTCCTTCCAGAGAAATTTATCATCTCTGAACGACATTTTCGCCACGTCTGATGTCAATCACAAGTAGTTGTTCCATTTAGGAAGTATTTTAAACCTTCTCGTGTCCGCGAATTACAACACAGGCACCAGAACAATGTCCTAAAGGTATATGTGTTCGATGTGTTCACGTACGTTTCTTCTTGATGTGTGCCTGAGTCGCCATTTTACTTTTTTTGTGCAACCGCTGTCCACATCTTCACCGGCGCATTTTCTTTTCGTGGTAGCTGGTAGGCGGGTGCGTCCCTCCCAGCCCCACCACTACAAGCCAGGACTTCCTTGCAATACTTTCTTCGTTCTCGAAAAAAGAGATAAAATTAGTCAGTCCACAGGTCCCCTCTTTTGTCTTGAGTTCGTCGAGATCGCAAGCTTAGCGAAATATTAACCCGGCGCGTGGGATACAAGCGCTAAAGGCAAGGGGTAGGGCTGGGGAAAGATTTTAAGAAGATAAGATAAAATAGCAGGCGTTACTGTTAGCAGGGTGGTAGCGACGCGGGAAGCCTTATGTCCCTAATGGACGCTAATGTTGATGACAATCCTGATATGATTTCCTAAGGGAAAGTTAAACAGATCATGGGCGCTTTCCATTCCACAACTTCCGGAACTTTCAGAGTGGGGCCAAATAAGCTCAAATGGTACCCAAATTTCCATGGAAAGTTTCCAGATCTGAAAATAGTTAAATTTCTAAAATACAAACCATTCGAACGAAAATTCCCGAAATTCCAGAAGGAAAATCCCAGAGGAAAATAAATGGAGCAGAAATTGCCGGTTAGAATTTTTC